ATTCCCCAACGATCTTCCATCTAAAGCTTAGTGCGTTGTCTCCTCTTTGGAAAGATGACTTTATCACAAACGAGTTGACAAGTGCAGTTCAAAACAAAATTTTGTCATACGGAACAAGAACAAATGCACTCACTCGTTCATTCATCTTCCACGACCACTTCTGCTTTTGAATCGCGGAGTCAGACGCGTCAGACAGTCCTTCTATAGTTCCCGATACTGTGCCAGAGTCTGAGCTTCGGGAGAAGCCAATTGGATCCTGGAACACACTGCATCCATATACTTGCGTTAAGTTAATCTTGGCCGCCATTGGGCCTTTTGCCGGTCGGTTTCGGAATAAGCAGTTGCATAGCCTTCCTTTCTGAAGTCATTCGCAACACATAGCCAAACCATCACAGTTGTGTCTTCACAGTCTGGAGAAACAAAGGCTATACACCGGGGATATTAGTATTCCGGACCATTTCGAGAAGCGTAAGGCCAACGACTCGTCTAAGAAAGCCCATTTCAGAAGTCTGTACACGGATTCGCAACTCTTCATTCATGGTCCACTACTCTTGACCTTGGTAAGCATGGAGATTAAGATCGAATTAAACACCGAGAGCTTAATTTTCAGACTGAGCTTTGCTTTAGCTATGATGGATCGCAGTATTTCACACAGAACGCCACTGGCTACGCCAATTTGCCTGCTGATGTCTTCCTCAAATTTTCCATCTTTAATAAATACAATTCCGAGGTACCTGAACTTCTCCACCTGCTCGACTGCCTCTCCATTAATCTGAAGAGAGCAACGGGCAGGAGAACGAGAAAGCACTAAGCTTTTCGTTTTAGATGCGTTCACACGCATATCGATCACGTCGCACTCGGCTGCGAACCTTTCTAAGGAGCACTCGAGATCAGTTTCAGAAGATGCTAATAAAACAAAGTCGTCTGCAAACAGCAACCTTCTCGACTGCATATCTCCTACACCGATACATTGATTGTCCTGGCTGCTACTGACTATTCTATCCATGTACAACTGAAACAGGAGAGGGGACAGAACTGAACCTTGGCGGAGACCAGTGCTAACGTTGAATTGTTTATTGTTTCGACTTAACGCCATTTACTCTGACGTAACACCTGCTATCATAATACAGTGATTAGATGACCCTTAGCAGCTGGCGATCTATCCCGTATACTGGAGGGTATGACCACAGACCGTTGCG